AAGCAGGCACAGGGAGCACCACACACACACACACACACTGTTCAGTCGATTTCTGAACAATGCAGATCTAATTTAGCCAGAGGACGAGCTCCATTTGTCTGGCATGCTTCTTCAGAGAGTTTTTCAGACACAGTGATAACGGCTGCTGAGGAGCTACGACCTGTGACCTTCATGTACGGCTGCCACGTCACGCGCACATGGGGTAGAGACGGTAGATTTATATCTATAACAAGGCAGCCCTTAGCAGCTGGATTTACAGAGAGAGAAACGGGACAATTTTAGTGGAACAAACTTGTATTTATTTGCCATATGGCTCTCCTTACAAACGATTCACTCTTGAGCTTCTTCACAGCACAATCATCCCTCTAATGACAACTGGCAGCCTTAAATACCTTCAGCTGTCACAGACTAAACCATTATTCCACTCACAGGCGAATTCTTAAATCCCAACCTTCCACCACAGTATATAATATACCAATTTGAATAAATAAATACATACATTTCACATTTAATAAATATTTTAGACTTTAATCCTACACCAAACCCAATATTATAAAACCCCAAAAACCCGAGCACAAAAGATTCCCCACACTGCCTCAACCCGGAACCTTTAAATGGTGTCTGGACCCCGGGGAAACATTTGCCCAAACACCTTGGAGAAGACACTGGTTTCCTCACTGGTAAAACCTTGTGTTCTCTCAATCCCCATTCCTTTCTCCTCACAGACACCACCACATTCCTAGATGAAGAGCAGTTGTGCAGAAACAAGGCTAGCAACTGATTTTGAAATTCCCAATAAACATTCAATAAATAATTAAACTTCTTGTGTGCAAATGTTTAACTGTGCAAATCCATGCTGAAAGTGCGATGCTAAATGAAGTGCTTGATAAGGTGCAAGGTGTGCTCTACAGTGCTATACAGATTATAATATAAATGATAGTAAGGCTTTTCCTTACAGTCACACGTCGATGTTTCAGTTCATTAAACACATTATAAAATCAGACAAAGTAAAAAAAGAACCCAAGTAAATACAAAAGGCAGTTTTTCAAAGCTGTTCCCTTAATAAAGTAGTTTGAATAACTTTTCACTTAAGCTGGATTCTGATTTTCTTCAGGTTATCTTTGTCTAATTATATTTTTGTCTAATTCTTGTACTGATCAATTAAAAAAATTAAGTATGAAACATTCTTCATTATGTGAAGAGAGAATGGGGGAACAATGGCTCCTTCTCTGCCATCATGTTGGATAAGTGTGAGAAAATGGATCCATAGATGATTTTTTTTACCAGTTTACCAGTCCAGTTAATCAGGAGGGCTCTACTACAGAACACTGTATGAATTAGAAATATGGCCTTTTTTAAATCTCCTGCATTGAAAAATTCTCCTCAAAAAGGAAACATCCCATCAGTTCTACTAAAGGAGCTGCTGTATCAGTGAACATGGTCTCTATGATTGAATGCACTCTTGGTCTCAACACGACGAATCTCAAAGTTGCCTCTGAAGCTGATTTGGTGTTTTTAACACACTAACAATAAAAATAAATAAATAAATAAAAATCATCATTGTGTTGTTTGCTCTGTTTGTCCAGTGGATTTATTCTGCAGACTGAATTGAGCATCTTGGTCTCCAAGGGCAACTAGCACAGCAATAACCTTTAGCATTGCTTTAAGCATGACTGAA